AGCAAATTATGTAGTACATCCATGTTTCAAGATAGCATTTGGCTGTGCCAGTTCTATTAATCAGTTCAAGACTGTGCTCTTTAAATTGACCTAATATAACAAACAAATTTTCAGTTTAATCTGGGTTGTAAACTGCATCAGCCAAATGATCTTCTTAGGAAGTAAAAAACAAAGTGTATAAAATAAAATTCATAAGTTCATTTCAGAAGATGGCTGACAGGAAAGGGAAAAAAAAGAAGTAGTGATAGCATAAATCATAAACTCTAACCGTTAATTCCAGGTAGTGGACAAGAACAATGTGGGAGAAGTCCCTGCAATAGTGGTAATTTATGTCAGAAAAGGGGGAGAAAGCCTGAAAAAATCAATCTAAAATTTGCAATCACCAAATTAACACAGTCCAACCAGACAATAAGCTAGGGAACCTCATGTAATACAAGGTAGTATAGTTTTTTATTCTTTAACTAATGTATTATTATTTAATATCAAAGATAATTCCTTAAAAATCTAAGTTGAATAATCAGGATGTTTAGGGCTTTATTTGGTTATCTGATGAAAGATGGGAGCTAATTATATCTTAAAAAAAGATGCAAAATTCTAATTTGAACAACAATATGTCAAAATCTGGAATATAATTTTCAATAAAAAGAAACACTAAATTTTACTATAAGCATATAATCCATCATTTAAAAATAAAAGCAATAATAAAAAGGAGGAATCATGCTTTTTTTGTATTAAATAATGCATCATATAAGAGGTCCCAAGTCCAAATTTAAATTATTTCGCTAATCCACGTAAATAAAAGCTGTTTTCTCAAATTTTATCCATGGCATGCAAATTTACACAAACACTATCCAATAAAAAATTTGGCAGACTCATTCACATAAAAAATGACACTTACTTTTCGAGCATTGAATAACAACGTCTTTGAAACTTTTTATTCTCCTCCCCAAGGGCATAGTAGCAATGCAAAACATCAATACTTCCAGCCTGAAAGGAATTATGATTGTTCAATATGGTAGATTGGAAGCATAGAAAAGATGTCGAAAATGTATTCCCAATATCAGAATTCAACAGAATAACCAATTATGACAACAAATCCAAAAATCTTTGGCTCTTACCTTGAGCTTCTTATGACCTTCCTTTGCCAATTTTCCATTCTCTTTCCTTTGCCAATTATGTCCATCTTTTCTAAAATATCTTGTCCTGTTTCGATCAAAAAGAAAAAGTGAACCACCTGAAAACAGAAATGTATATTACCAAGAGGTGATTGGAAACAAACTTCAAGATGTCTGCATGTGCATGTGCAAGTTTAGCTAGGGGGCACAAATAGTTCGCAAGGCTGTGTTCAATCCAAATTGTGCTCATTATTTGAGAAGCTAATTAAACAACCCAAGCTTGAAATCTGTATTGACCAAACAACTATTCAAGCCAAGGTTAATGAGCCTTCAAAAACCACTAATAAGAACTTGAGCTTGAGACTTCCAAAGCTTTATGGGAAGAAAATATCATTAGCCAAAAGATGTTTTCATAATCCATAAACCACCAATGTTGATGACAGAATACACCTAGCTGACTCCAATTACACGAGTTATTGATTTATCTACTAGGAGTTCTTGACATGCAACAAATGAGCTAATTAATTTTAGAGGTCAAACAAATTACATAATTTTTCCAAAGAAAATAAGAGAAGAAGCATTGTTTGAAGAAATTAATAAATTGAATAAAGTAAGTACATTCTTGTTAGAAAGAGATCTTAAAAGCAGTATATGGTGTCTGTTGTTGGAACTTGAGAAATAACAT